ATGTGCATGATACATCGCACGAAGAGAGGCTGTGCGTCAGGAGCCATCATACGAATGAGGATCAAGAGAAATAGAAAATTTGAAGGTGGCTGAAGTGATCCCGACATACCGTAGCAGAAATGGCCGCTCCGCCCATAATCTGACGAAGTTCATCGTGGGAGCGGCTGGATACTGTCCCCCGATACCTTTGGTTGCCACTTGATGATCGGAATGCAACGATAGCAAGACACGTGCGCGCAGTGTTCCTCTGCAAAACGAGCTCGCGCTCGCCCGCCTATGAACTACAACGACATTGGAAAAACGGAACGATTTCTCTCGCAGTTGTTTAACCTCATATGGAGGATAGGCTATTATAAAGTATCAGGTACTCAGTGGACTCACGCGTACGGCTCTCCGGTACGTATAATTACTTTCGTGGACATATGAATATATCATGATTTTCATTCCGAGAGTGTTCCTACCTGTGTCCGGTGCAAGGACCCATTCCTCTGCGCACCGCTGGCGGTTACTGGGCTCAGGCACTCACGATGCTCTCAGATCTACATGAGCCCTTCCCTGAAGCTGCCGCCGAGATAGAATCGGGTGGTGACCCGTTTAATGATCGGTGTATGTCTAGGATGCTTCCCTGCATCCCGCTTCTCTTCCCAACACAACCAGGCGTGTGCCCTACTGTGCCTTCGCCTGTCGTCCGCTCTCGGTGCTGTGCACCGGTCGCACGGTGACGCCTCGATGCCTTCCTGCCTACGCTTAACCCACATGATGAAGTCGCCGTACCTTCGGGAGCCTGCTTGCAGGCTGATGACGCTCAGTGCAAGTTCCGCAGGGGCCGGAGTCGGCGCATCTCTTTGAACTAACGGGGCCTTCCCGCGAGCATGGACGCTGGTCGCTACGAATGCTTTCGCGCATCCTGGTTAACCGTTCCAAGTTCTTCTGGAGCACGATGCCAGCAGCAGCCAGAGACTCAAGCTCTTGTCACGGCTGCATGGACCTGATTCGCTGTGCTGTGCGTCCTCGAATGCCGTGGTGCTCATGGGCGGCGGGGACCATTCCGTTTCACCGATTATTACCTTTGTGCCGCCCGTGGATACGCTCGTGTAATGGCGCGTGTCCCTGTTATGACGCCGCAGCTGCGGCGCCTTTCAGCATACACGACTGTGCGACTTCGGTGGTCAACTCGCTAGCTTTTCCACATCCTCGGAACAAAAGTTGGTGGTCACAACGCACGCACTGATCTTACTTCTTCCATTTTTTCATATGCTCGGGCCGTGACGTCGCAGTCCATGATGTGACTGGGCCATAGAACAGTTATCCGAAATCAAAAAAAGCTTGTACGCTTTATTACTCCGCGCAACGGAGTTGCAACGGAGGGTATGTAATCCGGTCTCGTGTGTGACTGCTCCCTGCTCTGTGCTGTGTGGATGTTGCATAGTTGGTGCTGATAGCCTTTGGCCTGCGATCGATTCAGCCAGAAAGCTTCACCTTATGCGGCGTCGATCCAGCAGCAGGCCTCACCTTAGGGGCGTCTCCCGTCATCTAGCGCTTTCACGCTTGGGCATCCAGGTCAGCAGCAGCTGCCTTAGCGGCTGTCAGCAGCAGCCAGCAGCGGAGCAGCTGTTATACACATACATGATTACACGGCTCGCGGAGCGTATGCACTCTCATGAGTGCCCTCTGTGTCTACTTGAGTTTGTTTTTTCTCTGATTTTGTATCTGGTGCACGGCACTGGCTTCATTATATTTCGTACAAAAGTCGATCAAGCTCACCTTAAGATAAACCCTCTTTTTTACTGCACAGTATCAGCGGTAGTTGTTTTGTTTAAATCTTGGCGCCTCATCTTTTCTTTCTCTCCTCTCCTCTCTCTCTCTCTCTCTCTCTCTCTCTTCTACTCTCTCTCTCCTCTCTCTCCTCTCTCTCTTCTCCTCTCTCTCTCCTTTCTCTCCTCTGTCTCTCTCCCCCCTTTTCTCCCGTCTCACATCAGCAGTTCTCTGGTCCCCACTGCATTGCTTGAGGTCGACTCTATCTCTCCGTCTCGCCTGCTTGCACGTCTTTCCGTGAATTGATAGTGTATGGTGAGGCACATGGTCGCTGTGTGTTCATGTCTTGAGCTGAGGCCAACGACATCGCTTGCAGCCTTTACCCAAATGGTCGCTGATCATCATCTCTCGCCCCTCCACCTCTCTCTGGCAGCCTCGCTCTATTCTACAAAGTCTCCTGCTCACATTCTCTTGTCTGCCGCCTGTGTCCATTCGGATTGCTATACCCCCCCGTCTTTGCACTGCTTTCTCGGCGATTATAAGGGCGTCTATACGTTGTTCTTGTGTCTTGGCGTGCACTTTCTATTTTTGACGTGCATCCTCGGGGTTCTTCTACGTGGTTCGTGTTCGTAAGTTTCTCTGTTTCGCCTGCGTGCTTTCTCATTTATTTATTATGTGGCTCTTCTCTCTCCCTCTCTCGTTTCTCCTCTTATCTCTTCCCTCTACGTACTTATTCCCAGTCCCCGTACTACATTATTGTCTCTCTCTAGCTCTGACTAACTCTCATCTGTACCTGATTTTTTGCTTAATACTTCATTGCTATTCTCTCGTTTCTTATTCTCTTTTATCCACTCTACCTATATTGCCCTTCCTCCAATAGTCTTTTCTTTCTATTTAGACTCTAGCATTCTAATTCTTTTTCTACTTGCCTCTCTCTTTCATCTCTTGTGTATGAAAGAGAAATCTCGTTATACGTCCCCAGGTATGCTGAGCCCCCCTCTCGCTCTCTCTCTCTTCTCTCTTTCTCTCTCTGGTGTCCGTGGT